GCCATCGGTCACTGGCACTGGTTGGCACCGGTGCGCACCCGTGCCCAGCAAGTGCCGAACCAGGGCCGATTGGCACCCGTGCCGATATATTTCTGCTGAAAGAGTGCCGCACTGGTAAAAATCAGTGCCGCACTGATAATTTATTTAATCAATTTAATTAGTTCTTTATTATGGTTGTTTATACTGAATTTTGTGTTAGAGTGCGGCACTGATCAGTACCACATCGACATGCCAAAACCATGCGGCATTGCCTCGGCACTTCTCTTATGAGAAGGAAAAATGAAGTCAGAAAGACATTCGAAATATTAGAAGTAGACCGTAGCGTTAATATAGATAGAAATTGACAAAACAAAATGGTGATTGAAAACAAAACTTCGGCACCGGTGCGCATTGGTGCTAGATTTTTACATTCTTTCTGGCACCGATGCGCATCGGTGCCCAGAAAAAAAATTATTCGGCACCGGTGCGCATCCGTGCACAACCAGTGCTGATAAAATATTTTTTTGTAGGGAAACTTATATACGTGTTGAAATTATGTCTACTGTCTTGTGAAAAGATTTTGCTCTAAACATATATATCGACTTTGTACTTTATTTTTCACTGGAGAAGAAAGACAATGACTATGAAAACACGTGCTGTTTTTAGAAGAAAAATCAATGAGAAAAATGAAACTAAGAAACTTAACAAGTTTCTTAGTTTCATTCTGCCGAAATTAGGACAAGTGGCCCTAAATCAGAAACTTCTCAATTTTCACAAACGGAAAATTGCTCTGTACTGTACCTCGATTGCAGAGTACCTCGAAGAGAAAACCGGGTAAAACACAATGAAACCAGACTCAAAAACCGTAGGCTTTATATTTCTAATAATTTTTCTTCGGTGTTTCCATATACTAAATTATACAAGCGTCGATAGAGAGAAAAAACTGAATGAATTGTGGAATTTTTCGACTGCTGGAATTAATCACCCTCAAGCTACACATTAAAAAAAGTAGAATTAGCAAATTAGTTTTAAAATCAAGAAACTTCAGATTTTTGTTAAAACTATTTTTCACATAGTTAGATGATTTTTGCTCAAAACGAATAGCGCCATTCTTAAAGCAAACTATTTATTCAACATAAGCAATTTTAGACAGCAAAATAAGAAGCGAAATAAGTGGCATAAAACTGAATAAAGATCTTGGCTTTCCATCTGATAAAAACGTTGTTTACAAAAACACGTTGGAACCTTCGTTCTTATTTTAAGTTTTGGACACTTAGTGTATACTTTTTCTACCACTTGTTTTCTAGTTAAAATTAGCTAAATTTGTAGTTAGTTAACTGATTTTCTATTCATCTACAGAACTGAAAGTTGCTGCATAATGTGTGTCGTTATAAATTTAAGTTACATTATGGTATATTTGTTTTGAAGTGTCGAAATTAGGAAGAAAAAATACGTGGCTTGTTGAAACTAGACATCTAACAAAGATGGGAAATGTAAGAAAATGTATTTACAATTTCTTACATTTTACATTCTTTCTCAGCTGACCAGAAGAAAAAGCGAACGTAAAAAAAAGACGTCTCTATTTTTCTCTTTCCGTTCCATATACTGGTCGATGTTCTTGTGGATATTATTGCCAGATTCTTCTCTCTTGCCATTTCAGACAAGAATCCTCAATTTTTTCTTAATAGATCAAACGAGATTCTTCTTTTAATTTTATATTCTTTTTCGTTAAAGATTCTTGTCTGAAGTTGCAAGATTCGTCTCGCGATTCTTGTATGAACTCACAAGAAAGTGATTTCCTGCACGAATCTTGTCTTGGAATTTTTAAAAAGATCTTGCAAACAAATAGAATGCATATATAATCTATTTTTCGTCCTCTTTCCTTTTCATATATATAGGAGCTGGGCGGTCTGATGCCAATACAGGCACACGTAAAGACTAGATGGTCTCTCGACACGAATCTTATAAGATTTAAAAAACTTTTTAAAGATATCTGTGTATAGTATTGAGCTATATTATGTATCTTATAAAAATAAGTCCACTTTTTTTGATTAACGGGTGTGACAAAATAAACGATCCTCCAAGTATTTTCTATTTTTCTCGTGCTTCTTTAGGACCCTAAGCTTGGTGCCTTTTTTAAAAGATGCGCCGCGAAATACTCTACAAAACCATACTTAAATTTTAATTTCAAAAGTTCAATCAAGAAAACTACACAAATTATACGAAAGACGACAAAAATGAAAATTTTCTAAATCTGGTATTTTTTTTGGCATAAACTTTTCTTTCTGGTATAATTTCCGTAAAAAAGTGTAGGAAAAGTTAGAATGCAGTTAGTTTTGTACTTCTGAATGTGCTCTTTCTCGTGGTCTGTAAACATTTTTTTAAAACAGATGGTGTGCTGGAGAACGAAGTTACAAAAATACGTCAGAAATTGATAGCCCCATGTTTCCAACAATGTGCCCAAGCAAAAATCGAAGTTTTGATTTTGCGGTTAGATAGAGAAGAGCAATCATTTCTGATCAAAACAAAACAAACCCGATCGAAAAATCTTTTGTTTTCATGTAGTTATGGAACTTTTACTAAAAGCACCACTTTACTCAGAATTTAAAAAATTAATGAAAAATTGCGTGACAGCAGATCGAAAACTCATTATTTTTCCATGAATTTTGATGTGAAAAAATTCGAAGTGTAGCTAAAAGATAGAGCGAAGTCACGGCTACATAACGGCTGATTCAGATTTTCTTACTTTGAAAACGTTAACACAAGAAATCGTTTTTGGAATTTTGAAAGCTTTCATTTTTGTCGTCTTTCGTATAATTTGTGTAGTTTTCTTGATTGAACTTTTGAAATTAAAATTTAAGTATGGTTTTGTAGAGTATTTCGCGGCGCATCTTTTAAAAAAGGCACCAAGCTTAGGGTCCTAAAGAAGCACGAGAAAAATAGAAAATACTTGGAGGATCGTTTATTTTGTCACACCCGTTAATCAAAAAAAGTGGACTTATTTTTATTATTTAATTAATCTGACAAAAACGACAAGAAATAGCCAAGCTAAATATGAATAATGAATTGTCAGTGAGCACTATGCATAATAATGATATCAGTTTTTCTTGCGATCTTGCTATGCGTGAGATGAACAATTTTGTTTGCGGGCGAAACTTTTGTCGTGCACTGATTGTAATGTAATATATTCATGATGTTCCCGTTTCCCCATATCCAACATTCCCCAAAAAGGCGTCATTTACTAAACCCAAAAGGTTTACGTCGACGAAGTTCAGTAAGAGGTTTGTTCGTCCCCTCGAGCAGATATTTGGTTATAAAAAAAATCAAGTTGCGTGAGGCTGTGGTTTTCTTTCAACACGTTTGCGAGTATGATAGCGACTCGTTCAAATGTGCTCGCCTGTGTCGTGAGAACGGAGAAGTTGCATTTCTTATGCAGTGTCAATGATGATAGTTGTGGCATGCAGGGCAAATGTAGCGGCACATCTTTGATCAGCTGTTCTGAGTAAATTGGGTCCAATGTTAAGGAGTGAAGACTGGTCCATGTGTTCGTTAGAGAACGTTCGAAGAACAGATCGATGTATTCGCAAGTCTGTTCGCCGAAACACAGAGAGCAAACTTGTGTGGTTGACGGAAAGTGTTCGGAGATAAACTTACACTCAGATTGACGGATGGGTTGAAAGTTCAAGTCAAAGTGAAGGCTACCTAGTAACCTGTCGAAACGGTCGTTTAGTCCGAGAAATGAGTGTAGAATATCATAAGCGTCGAAATACTCGAAGACTTCAAGAATCAATTCATTCGCAAACGACTGAAATTGTGTCACGTCTAAACAAATGTGCATTGTGCAGAGTTCAGCTGCTTCGCCTCTGTTATATGCAGGCTTAAAGAAAGAAGAATCAGTGTTGTTGCTAGGTAGGTATCCGTTCTATATGCCACATCGATTTACGGCTTTTTGGAGTATTTGGCAGAATTCTCTACTCTTGATGTAATAAAGCTGTTTAATCAGCTATTACAGCGTTTTACTATGTTCATGACCATGGATGTAATCTCTCTCTCCGCTATTCTGAGCATATTGCAATCATCTGATGAGAGATCTTTCCTGTTTGCACAAGTCACAATGAATTTGATTGAGAAACACATGATGCACTTACCATCCAGTACTGGCTCGAAACCTTTATGGTTACCGCAAGTGTTCAAGAATCGGTCTGATAAGTCGTGCGGCATGTCTCTGTAGGATATCGAATCGACGTTCGTGCTCATTCCACTACTACTCAGGCCTTCTTCCTTCTACAAACGTTAGTGAGTAAAACTTAAAAGGCTTTTGTTTAACTTATTTTTCTGAATTTTCGTACTACATAGGATTTCTCATCTCGTTTTTTACCTTCGAAAATAATCAATATGTGAGGTTATTCCTTTCGGAATAGTTTTGCATCAAATGGTTAAAAGCCAAAGAAGAATGTAATTGTTACACATATTTTATTTCAGCAAATTAACAACTGTATATAGTATATTTTTGCTACAGGAAGATCTCTTAGGAAAACTGGGAAAAACACATATTGTACAAGAGAGAGAGAGAGAGAGAGAGTGAGAGAGAGAGAAGAATAGGATGAAAAATACCCATAGGAAAAGAGTGAAAAGAAAGAGAGAAAATACATATCGTAAAAAGCAGAAGAGTGAATACATATATCAGAAGAACAGAAAGGGAAAATAACCATCGAGTGACGATAAGAATATGTATATTGAAAGATGACTGCTGATATGAGATTTAGTTTATACTTCCTAACACCTCTCCTGCCACTAGATGAAGCATCCCGCTCATTGTTACAATAGTAAAGAAAGAAGAAAAACAAAAATAAAATAAAAGAAAACAAAAATCCCATGTTAACCGGGTCAGGAAGGATCTGCCACCTTCTTCCCACATGATGCTGTCACGTTATGCCGTTTCTAAAATGGTCTTGATGAGTTGTGTTCATGTCTAGATGATAACTCGGATTCTTGAAACATGTACTTTCTCGAAGTGACCATCATGTACGTGTTTTACTTGGTAATTCAATCGGCCCATTCGTTGTACCACTATAAATGGACCATAATACTTTGGTGAAAATTTCCGTAGATTCTTGATCATCATTTGCCGGAGGAGTACCAACTGTCCTAGTTTCAATGGTGGTAAATCTTGCCGTCCGGTGTCGTACGGCAAGATTCGCTTGTATACATTCTGCTGTTGTTTGATGTTGTCGCGTACTGTTGATTTAGCTTGTTTCAAAAATTTGGTGAGTTCAGCGTAGTAATCATTTGCGGTAGACAGTTGAGTAGTCGAACTGGGTGTGTCAAATGGAAGTAGTGCTTCACGACCATACATGAGTTTGAATGGCTCCATTTGGATTGTTGATTGCTTAGATGTATTGTATGCCAAAGTCACATAGGGTAAATACTCATCCCAGTCACTTTGTTGTTGATTCACGTATGTGCCGAGTGATCCAGCGAGTGTTGCATTGAATCTTTCGGTGAGACCATTACATTGTGGATGGTATGTTGTTGTATGGTTGACACTACACCTAGATGCGATTGCTTTGAAAACATTTGACATGAAATGAGTATCCCGATCGGTTAACAATTGTCTAGGCACACCATACTGTGAAATGACTTTCTCTACCAAGAATTTGGCTGCTGTCTCAGCCGTGCAGTTGGCTGTTGCTTCAGTGATGGCATACCGTGACAAATAATCCGTGCATACTAAAATATATTTGCCACCGCTGGAGGATTGGGGAACCGGTCCGATAAAGTCGAGTCCCATGAGATCCAATATGCTAGTTGGTGGTTCGACTGGCTGCAGTTTGCCTGTTGGTTTTGTTCTGGCAATCTTAAATTGTTGACACCTGTGTTATGGCACATATTAAAGACGTGCCATAAGAGACAATTGTATAATAGTCATATATATATTCGTTCTCTATTCTTCTGCTATGGGTATTTTCTCTTCTTGTCATATATGTATCTGTATTGTTCTC